GGGCAGCCGGGCTGGGGGACGCACTGTCTCGGGGGACGCCCCTTGGGCTGCAGCTTAGAGGTGCCTGAGGCTGGTGGCTCCCAGCAAGCTTCCTGCGTAGAGGTGGGCTGGTTTCCAGGGTGCGCAGACAACACCCCGCTTCAGGGGCTACGGCCAGCCAGAGAGGAGGCCGACGGGCTGCTGCGGCCTCCTGCCCACCCCAGCCCCATGCGTCGGCTGGGAGGTGCAGAAATGCGCCGGTCTCCGGCTCCTGGCCACGGACAGTGAGCGGTCAGCACGAGGCAGAGGCCGTGCGTCCGCACCCCCACCGCGGCGGGGCGGCCCGGCGGCCCCCTCCTGGCGTCTGTTCCGCGGTGCCCTGGCCACTGGCAGCGGGTGGCCGGGCCAGGCTTTCCAGCACCACCTGCGCCGCGCGGGCCTCGCGGGTGGGCTAGCGGCGGGAGGAGCAAGGGGACACACTGTCCCATTGCGTGGGGATGCCGGCGTGGCGCCCTGGCGGCCGCAACTCTGCAAAGGGCCTGGCCTGGCGGGGAAGCCACGTGGGTGCTGGTCGAGAGGAAAGTCAGGGGGTCTGGAGGAGCCCCACACCGGAGGGCCGACGGGGGGCGTGCAACACGGTGTGCTAATCACCATCCCCCGGGAGTCCTCGGCGCACCCCGGACGTGAGCACGCCGCTCCGTGCCAAAGGGACTTCGCGGGTGTGTGGATGCTGAACGAGATTACCGGTCACCCCACCGGTGACAAAGATGCTTTACGAGGGCGGCAGGCAGGCGCGGGGGCGGGAGGGTGCACCAGCTCTCGGGAGGACGCGGCCGGGAGACAAGGCGGCGACCTCCAGAAGCTGGGAAATGCGAGCAAGGCATCGCCCAGGGGCCTCCGAAGGACAGTGCTGCCCACCCCTGCTGCAGCCACAGCCTGATGCAGACGCCGCTCGGTCTGTGCTGCTCTGTGGCTTTAAACGGCGGCTCTGGGCAACTAGCAGAGCCCCCCGCTGGGAGGGAAGGGATAGGTGGCACAGCCTCGGG